TAGCCTATTAAATAATATACTTAATAATTATACTAAGTTATAGCTTAATAGCCCTTAAATAGTATATTATATAAATAAGAACTTTCCTAAGGTATAGCTTATAGTAATACCTATACTATATATAAGCCTTATTAGTATAAGCCTAGAATTTAAAGAGTAGCTATATTATAGATACTAAGAGGACTTAGTCTAGGTATATATATAAGATATTATTATATATAATAATAAGTTAGCTACTAATAATAAAGCTAAACTCCTATTTAAGATTAAGGATAGGCTTCTATAGAAGGTAATTATAGACTATCTAGATAAGCTATATATTCTATATATAGTAAAATAAGATATATTTAAAGCTATTTATATTAGTAATTATATAGTATATAATAAACTTAAACTAATACTATAATAATACTATATATATAAAGGTAATAAGTATTTTTAAGAATTCTTATAATAATATATAAAGTATTAAGAGTATTATAAGTAGGTATATATACTATATAAGAACCTATAGCTACTATTACTAATACCTATACTATATTACTATATCTTAATTGACTTTATACTAGTACTACTACTCTTAGAATAAAGGTATATAGTAATATTAGTAGTAGTTTATAAATTTAGTAAGTTAGTATTAGTAGCCCCCCTAAAGGATATATTTAATATAGTAGAGGTAGTATAAATCCTACTTAATATATTATTTAATAAAAGCTAAGGTATTCTTAAGATTATACTCTTAGATAGGGACTTAAAGTTTATAATAGTATTATAGTAGTATATATAGAAGTAGATATATATAAAGCTTATATATACTATAATATACTACCTATAGATAGATAGCTAGATAGAATAAGTAATCTAGATAATATCCTTAGTTATTTAAGTCTATATTACTAACTTAAAGAAACTAGTATAATAAGAATTAATTATACTATAGCTAATCTTTTAAATTAATAATATATAATCTATATTAATAGGGTACTTATTATATAAAGTTATTAAAGGATTTAACCTTATAAATATACTAGACTACTTAATTAGTAGTATACTAGTAAAACTAAACTATAAAATAACTAAAGTCTTAGTATATAATACCTTTACTATTATTATAGTAATAATAAAGAACTATTATAACTAATAGTATATAACTTACTTCTTTATAGTTAATAATATAATATATCTTAAACTATATAAAGGATATACTATAGCTAATAACCTAAGGTATAAATTTAGAAAGTAATTTATAGGACCTTATTATATTATAAAGTATATTAGCTATATTATATACTAACTAGCACTACCTACTATATTATATATCTAGCTAGTAATTTTAGTAAACTACTTAGAGCTAGTATATAGGCTATTAGTAGAATCTAATAGGCTATTAATAAATATATAGATAGCTATTAAAAAGGCTAGCTATATAACTCTATAGGCTAAAGAACTATATAAATATACTATAATATCTAAACTATTATAGTTTTATATAAAGGACTATAAAATTATCTAGATAATAAATAAGAAGTATAAGGATAGTATATAATTTTTCTAAGTATAATATTATAATCTAGATAAAAGTTATAATAAATAGTTATCTATTAAAGAGCTAAGTAAATATATAATAGTAGTATTAGAAGATTAAATATTAAATAAGTATTATTTATTATTAGACTACCTAATAATATAGTATTTATAAAACCTTTCCCCCCCCCCCCTAACTTACTTACTACTTCCTTTA